TTTTTCCCTTCAAGTTCCCTGCCGACAGGTCCATCCATTTCCCTTTTCTCCCAACATTTCCGGTTGACATGGTATGATTCGATGTGTTTTATAGTGTAACTGATAGTGACTGATTGTATGCAGCACTGTATTGTAAATAATTGAGGTCTGACGAAGGCATTTGAGAAAATCGAAGAGTAATTTTTTGCGCCTGCCGGCCCCTTTTCTAGAGCATCATCTCCCTCTTCTCCCCCGTTTTCAGCTGGTACCATTTGATCGATTGCAAAGCAATGGAATGATTGCTTAGCCTCTCAGACCATATATGATAATGCACCGCTTGAAACTAACGATAAGTCTATTCAGGAAATACGTAGGAGATCAGTTTGAAGCATGAGGAAACAGGAGCTGCTACATTGTGAATTGCATATGGATAATGAACTTACTAGCTACGTCAGATAGAGGAAGGGTCGCAAGGGTGAGCAACAGGGTTGACCTGAAAGTGTGCTCATGATGTACGCATAGGTGAAAAGCCTACAAAACTCGATACCTTTCAGACAGTGAGGGGTTTATTCGGATAATCAAGAAATATAAATGTAGGTGGAGCTGATTTTCTATCTACAAATTAGCTCTCAAAAGTATTTCAGCCCGAGATTACAAGTAGAAATAGCTAACATAGAAGAAAATGGGCTAGAAATATGGTCGTGGAAGGCTGAAATAGAGTAGGGCACTTGATGCCTACAAACTAGGCCATAAGCAAGCATGAAGCCATACTGATAATCTAAACTAGTGAAAAAGTGGCGAAGAAACTACAAAAATCGTCTCTTGAGAACCTTCGAAAATGTAGAAAAATTAAGGGTTGGACGAGAACATGACGACAAAAGCTGCATGGAACGGATATTTGGAGGAGCTGTCTAAATGTGCGTATCATTGCATACAGTTGCCTACAGTAAGCCGCCTGCGTGCAACGTGTGCGTCCCGTTGCGAGTGATTCAACTCTACAAAGCTGTGAGAACTCGTCCGCCTTTGAGTGTATACATCGGCTGAGCCGATTTGGTGTCCTTATTTCGTTCAGTAAGGATTTCGTGAAGTACGAGTCTTGTTGAACTGTCTATGCAGTTCTCCATTCTTGCAACCTCGATCGGAATCATTTCCTTCGCTGCACTGAAATTACAAGCCAACCTGGTTAACACTCATGTCATACCGGGCTTTCCTCCTTTTGAAGCCGTCACCGTCACTTTTGATTCGTCAACTTATCGATTCAGCTTACTCGATGGTGTCCATTGAAGCAATTTCGGATGAAAAGGCTTTCATACAAAGCAACCTCGGAAAGCAAAATTTGGTTCGAACAGTGCGTACTCCGCGACGCGACCACTAGCTGCGCTGTTTCGACACCAAAAAAACGCCCGGCGCCGCGGTACGCATTGGACTACATAGATTGACGTCACAGTACCCGTTGTCCTTGTCGGTTGACGCTGATTTATTCCTTTTACAGAACATTCGTTTTGAAGATCTGACATAATCGCGTTCAGTCACATCCTAAGTGCTGCTTCTCGTGGTGACTTTCCTTGAGCTTTTGAAAACATTGTTCCTCTTTTTGGGTAAATTCATGTCTTGTAGCAGCACATATTCATACTATCGCACACGCTTTTTTCTTCCAGATATGGGCGAGAGCTGTTCGGAACACCGTTCAGACGTCTTCGTTCCTGACTAGATCGAATCGCGTCCAACCGCAGAAACAAAATGAGTTTAGGGCTGATCCACATATGAAACTAACCAAGACGTTTCGTTGAGACATGAGGACTGCGTATGGATGTCTCACTGTGAGATGTACATGCACCCATATGTATATATCTACAGGGTGCGTGTTCCGGACTTCATTGCTACTTCCGATTGACCTGCATATTCCCCCGACTGCAAGCTGATGTATCACTGCGTATGGTCTATTTTAGAGAGCCTGCACTCCAAACCATGCCACAGTAGCTGCTCTCAAAAAATCATCCCTTCAAGAAGCTCTGCTTGCCGCCGTGGACGTGTACCCGAAGCGTCTACGAGCCATAATTCGCAAAGGAAGAAGGCATATTGAATGACCGTATATTCATTTCGTTGATGTAATGTGTAGTAAATATTTTACACGACTATGTATGTGAATATTTCACCTTGTATCAATATCATATCAATATGTATTAAAATGCGGTTCCTGTACCACAATCACTTTGTTATCATATTCATGGCGCACTCTGCAAATATATGTACCATTCGGGACGCCCGGCTAGCGCCGGGCTTCCCTCCTTCCTATAAGTTCGCCCGGCTATGCCGGGCGCTCCTCCTTCTTGTTAGAAATTTGCTCTGTAAATAACACTTCGGATTCTCTTCTTTCTTCAAAAGCTCTACAGCCCCAGTATTAGCTCCGAATTGGGATCGATTTTTCTGTAAGCCATTTTCGCTGTGTCTCAATAAAACATCGTATAATATCACAAAGGCGATTAACCAGAGAAAAAGTAGTATTCAGGGACTTTAGGGGCTTAAGGAGCTGAGTCTACTATTTTAGCTACCATCAAAGTTCCCAGCCAACTCCTTGTGCCTTCAAGTTTCAACGGTCTGGGTCCGAACGAACAGCATATAATCACGCCCCACCCTCTAGGCGGAGTTTAGTCCTGCAACCTATCATCATTTAACTATCCTGCCGCCTGTACTCCTACTAAGTTTTAGCGCTTTAGGTCCACGGGGACAGAAGTTATGAATTTCCGGTCAAACACACAACTACACACACAGACAAACCAACAGACACACTCAGCGCGTTATATATAGTAGGTGTATTGGGCGGAGGTGGTGTACCAGCAAGTGGCGCACTTCACACTTCGCACGGGTACTGGTTTGAGACCCGGATCGATATTCGCCTAAGCCAACCGAGCCTTCCATTCTTCGTGGTGGTTAATTGGTACCAGACTCGTCTGGAGAGGGGGGGATGAAGCAGATGAAGCCTATAGTCTCACTGATCATCGATTTCTTCGAGCGGGCCCCAGTAACGTCTCCTTTCATCCCTGTCGCTTCAGAGAATAGCCCTCGCTTCACTGACATGAGTCTCAGCATTCTCTTCGTTCAGAGCTTCCACGAATATGTTGACCATAGTACTGTGGCCGTCCTGGTGTTTGCTTGATGGCCCGTGGGATCTAGTCGGTAAACTCCCCGTCCAACGGTCATCGCATAACGAGCTCGGCCCACCTGATCTTTGATTTCTCGGCATGAACAACGCATCCCTGATCTTCGTTCGATGTCGGAGCGGGATTCCCGTTTTCCTTCTGCAAGTGCGTGAATAGCGAAACTCCGAGCATCGTCCTTCCCAAAGCGCTTTGAGTAGGGCTGACAATTGTTCATCCTACTCTCGTAGGTACAAGTCTATGTGGCCTACGTCAAAGCCGGAAGGGCATCAGTGTTGAAAATGTGAGTGTTATCTGTGGTGTCTGTTTTTTCGTCTCGTCACTGTTGACTTTCCGACCTGGATACACATAGGTAAAGCATTTGGAGATATTCGTTCCGCTTAGCGCCAAGGGAGCATCAGGAACCAATCCGTTTTTCATGAACATCGACCTCGTTAAGTTCAGTCTCAGGCCATTCCTTCCATGAACATTGTCCAATTCGGCCAGCACTCGTTTCGCCTGTTCGATGTTATAAACACGATGTAGCCTAGAGCGGAAGTGATGTCACTCGACCTTTACTCTCAAGCTTCTCACTTCAAATTACACATGATAAACTCGAGAGCTGAAATGTTTGGGCAAAAAGGTATCGCGTTGCCGGACCTCTCTCCTCACATTGATAATGATTCCTTGCAGATTGTCGAAAGTCTGGTCGTGAAGCTGTCGTAGAGCTCACGAATCCTTATGTATCCAGTATAGCCTGGTTGCCCAGGGCTCCGTTTAGCGCTCCTGTCTCGACAGTATCAAAGGCCTTATTCGAATCGATGAACTTAAGACAGCGGCATTTTGCAATTTCGCGATATTCAAGGGAGCCTTGTAAGAGTGTGGATATGACCAATTGCACTGACAATGAGCCCTCTCCGGAACTTTGCATGCTGGCACGGCCCGCTGCCGCCCTTCACCTAATATTCTGCCAATCTTGTTGAGGATGTTGCGTGAAAACCGAAGGAGCGAAATATTGCCATAAGATGTTTGGTAAGCAGGTGGATGCGGCCGTCGAAGAAAGGTCGTAGATGACCTTCTTCATTGCACTTCGAGATGCAGTAACTGGTCCGTCCGGGCGACGAGAAGAGATCATCTTGATCTTGTAATTGTCGAAGCATCGACGGGCTTTGCAAATGCTCTTTCGGCCTTGTCGGCTTCGTTCATGAATGCTGCCCTTCTTTCTTTCATATCTTCCTTTATCGATTCCTCGCATTGCTTCGCAGGCTCGGACGTTCAATGATGATTGTTTATAAACCGCGCGATTCCAGCTACCGTATCAGCGTGAAGAGAACCGTCCTCAGGCTATTGTAGGCTCTCTGCTATCTTATCACTACCAGGAAGATGTTTGGCGAGCTAGATGAATTCTTCATTGATGTTGTCTTCCATTTACTCGCGAGGGGAGCGAAGGTCTTGATGATGGTCCTAGAGTTCATATCTCTAACTCCACAGCTCTCTCCACGCACTGCGAAACAAAGTCTATAGCTGAAACATCACAGAGGGTCCCCTTTCTGCTTGAAGATGGGAATGATAGTACACTGGGTTTCTTCATAAGCTTTCACAATAAATTCGGGTTGGTCACCTTATCCCGTCTTCTTCGAGCACCTTCCTTTTCCACCGCAGATCGCTGTGATCGTTGCGAAACTGTTGCCGCGTACGTGTTAGTGATTGTAGAATCTTCGTTGCAAATCTCGCTAAACGGGCGCGTGCCAACTCTCGAGACCGTATGTTTATAGTGCTACTCGTCTTTATAAGTGTGTCGTGTAGTGAACAGAACTCGTACTTGTACTCGAATCGTTACTTGTGCTCACCGAGCACTGTGCTCTTCATCCTTTACGCTATCGAAGCCTTGCTTGCCTTTGTCTTCTTAATGTTTTCCATCCATAGCTTAACAGCACTCACGAGTACTACGTAATGAGTCGGTAACCCGATGTCGGCACGTAAAGGGTGGTAAAACTCCATGATATTACTCAATCGAACTTGATACTCTTGTTTTGAAAAACATGTAAGAGCAACAAGTTAGACCAAGTTCTATCACAGAGCTCACAACTTCATTGTTCGATGCCAGCACCGAGTAACCGGCTCAACACGTAGCACTAGCAAGTTCTAACAAGCCACTGCTGAAAACTGTCCAGGAGGCAAAGACGATAGGAGGACCTCTGGTGTAGGGGGTAAAGAGCACGGTGCCCAGAAAGCACAAACTTCGGTTTCGGGCCCGAGGCCAGTAACCCGGCATCCTTGTGGTGAGTTTCTCATGGCGAAAAATAGAGTCAGGTAAAAATATCAGGTTGGGCATACTTGTCCACCCATCACCTTCGTATCCATGTATCGTACAAACAATGCCCAGGTCTCTCGAAGCAACGGAAAACAGGAAGGGATCGTGATCATAGGGCCTGGGTAGGGCATCTTTCTTATCATTACGGCCATGAATACAATAACTTCTACTTCCACCTCTTATCCTATTCTGTGCGAGGGCTTCCAGCAGGTTTGACCATGCCTTGGCCGGGAACTTACAGGTATCGTCCCTCCTGGCCACGCCCGGTCCAGGTGATCTGGACAAGAATAGCTATGAATGAACTCACCTAAGGATCATGATGGTGAATAATGAAACACTCTCGAGGAAATGAATAACAATCGCCAATGATAACATCTAGTCCTATCAATCGAAACTTCATTAATTTGATTGTGATTGCACGTCTTCGCTCACACCAAAACATTCCACTCCTAATGTTCAGTTCAGGAGCCATAGGCCTTTCTAAAACAATCTCCCCGATTGACACCGTATGAGATCTGTTCTACACTTCTCATAATCGCGAAACGCTTCGGCTCGAGTGCAAATTTGGGTGAAGCCCAGGACAAGGTGGACGGAGCACATATGAGCACAGCGAGGGCCCGCCTACACGGTGCAAGCGCCGGAATGGGCAATGCCAAGGGCCAAACTTCTCATTTAGACTCGAAAAGCCCAAATGAAGCAAAAACGGACTAAGACGATTAATGGGACAACAAGTTATTGAAGGAGAGCCTCTCGCCGTGGACGAAGTGTCCCCAAAGTGGGCGGTACCTTCCCCATAAATTCTCAATTCGTTTCAATGAAGGAACTCAAGAACAAACTAAAGTGAGTGAACAAGGTCTAGTGGGCTTGCGTGATCATATCGAAGCTCCGCCCATGATCGGCGGGAGTGCGCTAAAATGAAGTCAACTTCAGAAATATCCTTACTACATATGAAGCGCTCGCGTCTGTCTGTGTGTGCATTTGTCTGTTTGCACGGAAATTCATTACTTCTGTCCCCGTTAACCTGGAACGTTCAAACTTGGTAGGATTATTGGAGGCAGGATGAGAACATTTAATGCAAATGGCATGACCGGATCACGTCCACAGGGGCGGAATTTGCGCCAAAATTATCAATTTGCCCCTAGAGCGTTCACACTTGGCAGGAGCATAGACGGCAGGATTCGTTAGATCCTAGCAGCTTTGTTATTTATGATCCA